TAAAGTCCACTGAGCAATTAAAATAGATGTGATGAAATCTGCATTTTCCCCACAGGACCTCCAGGGCCTCACTGCAGGCCTCTCCTGCTCACTGCAGACCTCCTGCACACAGGTCCCATGTACTGGAGCATCTAAGCCTCCAGGCGTGCAGCAGGGTGGAAAAGGAGGAAGCAGTGGCTGTGTCGGGCATCTCGGTAACAGCAGCAAATAGCTGATAGAATTATGAAGACAAGCAAATACACATTCCCCAAATACAGCAGGCTAGGCCTTTATAGTGTATGCTGCGAATATGAGGGTAGTGGAGCATTTATGTTCATAAAAGTATGGCCAAAGTTATCAGTCCGAATTCTGGTTGTAAATCAAATCTGGTTAATTTCAGCAGAAAAAAAATATATTAGAAGCCTATCTGGTAGCTCACAAATGGACTGGAAAGCTGAACTAAACGGGCTCCTACAAAGATTAGCAACTAGGAGTGGTTTACATAAGATGTTATGATTCCTCTGTTGCTGTTAAACATTTCTTCATTGTCCCCATGTCTCTGAATCACCACAAAGTCCTGGTTGGCGCCATGTCTGGCCCCTCAGCTTCTGTAGTGGGAGGGCGGTGCCCCTGCCCAGATTCTCAAATAGGAAGGACAGCTGTCTTTTGAAATCCCAGATCTTAAAAAAGAACTTTATTAAATTGGATCTGTATATAATAAAAGTTAAGAAAGGTTTTAATAAAAACTGAAGGACACATTGTCAAAATTTAAAATGCACATGTTCTTTGACTTAGGAAATCCACTTAGAGGAATTTATTCTATAGATAAATTTGCACATTAAGAAAAGATATATGCAAGGATATTAATTGCAATTTTATTTATAAAAGCAAAAGACTGAAAACATTGTCAATGTTATAACAATGTTATAATAAGGCATGGGTCAATTTACATTACCTCTGTACAATGGAAAGCTATCCCTTAAAAACAATTAGGTGCCACTACTAAATAAGCTCTAAGATACAGTAAATGAAAAAAAAAATCAAGATGCAAAGATAGAAGATCTGGGGCTGGAGGTTACAGTGGGGATTGTCTGTATCATGTGCTTGTGAACACTTAAAACAGCTCTGGAAGAACTTAAGAGAATAAAGTTGTTTCTGGGGGAAGTGGGAGAGGGGGAGGAGGGAGATAGTTCTTTTCTCCCTTCTGTGGGTTGAGTTGTATCTCCCCCAAAAGATGTTGAAGTCCTAACCCCAGCACCTCAGAATGTGACCTTATTTGGAAATAAGGTCTTTACAGAGGTAGTCAAATTAAAATGAAATTATTGGGATGGTCCCTAATCCAAGGTGGCTGGTGTCCTTATAAGAAGGGAGAATTTGGAAGTGGGCGAATGGGAACAGAGCAGAGGCCCTGGGAAGGTGGAAGATTGTAGATAGAAATCGGTCAATGAGCCAAGGAATGCCTGACGCCACCAGACGCTAGGAGAGAGGCCTGGGACAGGTCTGGGACTTTTCGAGGGAGCCCGGGCCTGCTGATGCCTTGGTCTTGAACTTCTGGCCTCTAGACCTGCGAGACAATACTAACTTCTGTGTGCTAAACCACCCAGTCTGTGGTATTTTGTTATGGCTGCACTAGAAAACTAGTACTTCCCCAGTGGTTTCTCTCTTTTTTTTTACCTGAGGAATAGGAAACTGGGCTGTATATATCATAAGAGTGTCGAAGAATTGAAAAAATTAAAATTATTGTTTAAATGCAAAACTGCAGCTAAGTCAGGTAAAGGAAAAGTTTATCATTATCTATTTTTATATGTTCTGAAGTATTTTTGGCATTAAATGAAATGCATGCCCATATATTCACACGCAGTAAGGAAATAAAATTACAGAAATACAACTGAAGCTGCCTTTTTGTGTTGCCCCAATCCCAGTCTCTTCCTCTTCAGAGGTCACCACTAGCCCAAATTTGGTATTTGTCATAAATTTGGTTTGTATTTTTGCCACACGTATGTATCCTATAAACCCATGGGATTGGGTTCCATGTTTTTAAACTTCTATTGGTTGATTCCTTCTGTTTTTTTGAGAGTTTTATCCAAGCTGGTACAGGCTGCTCCACAGCACAGCACATCCGTCCTCCAAATGGGCGTTTTAAGGCTCCCATTATTCATGATTAAAGCAATGCTGCGGTGAACATCTCATGTGCATCTTGTGCACAGGTGTGCATTTGTCTTTCATAATAGCTTACATTCATCATGCCTATGATAAAAGTATGTTTCCCACCTTGGCTGGTATGGCTCTGGATTGAGCACCAGCTTGCGAACCAAAGGGGCACCAGTTCAACTTCCAGTCAGGGCACATGCCTGCGTTGCAAGCCAGGTGCCCAGTAGGGGGTGCATGAGAGGCAACCGCACATTGATGTTTCTCTCCCTCTCTTTCTCCCTGCCTTCCTCTGTCTAAAAATAAATAAATAAAATCTTTTTTAAAAAGTATGTTTCCCTTCAGGACCACAAACATTTATCTCTGCTAATCCCAGAAACAAAAATGTCATTAAAAATGCTTATGCTTTAGTTTTGCTAGATTTTGCTCACCTGGTCCCTGAAAATTTTGTGGCGGTTTACACTTCCACCATTAGGGAATAAGAGTCATTGCTTCTTTATATCCTCACCAGCTTTTGCTGTTTCCAGACATCTTAATGTCTGCCAATCTGATGAATATGAAGAGAGCATTTCATTGTGATTATAGTTTCCATGTTCCTAGTGAGATTGAACACCATCCTGCTTTGTACAGTTGACTTTTTAAAGTAGTTCTTAATCTTACTGGTCTTCCTTTATACTATATTGTGGATACTAATCGCCTAGTTTGTGACCTGTTTCATTTTATTTGATGTCTTGTAGAAGCATGAAGTTTAATAATGTCATCATATGTATCAGTCTGTCTTTGCTTTTTCTGTTTAATTCAGAAATCACTCATTTCATGATCTCCATGGTCATAATGATCTTCAAGAGGAGAAACTTGACTTTTGAACTGTTAACACGTACACATGTCTGTTAACTAATGGGATTAACGTTTGGGCATTTGAAGTTTGCTTGATTTTTAATCTTTTAAAGGTGATTTTGCAGTTTGAGACTTGCCACCTTTGGTGGTAAAAGGGTGGCCCAGAGGCTAGAGTAAGCGTGGACTTCAGGACAACCGTGAGTGTGGTGGCGAGGGTATGTCGAGGAGCCTGACTAGCTGCTGTGGGAGGAAATCGTGAAGGAGTGGGGAGTGCTGTGTTTTTGCATTGGTAGGGGGCTTTTAGTTCATTTTGAGTGCCTGTTATTTGCTGGTGGGTATACACATTAACAAGGAGCAGTCCTTGCTCAAAGTGTTCAAGCTAGGAAGCAGGCAATTTTAGAGTATTAAGTGCTGTAATGGGGGTGGTATTACGGGAGCCATTGCAGGTTCCTGTGCAGGGGACTGAAGTGGTAGATCAGGAAACAAGTCTGGGCACCTTGAGTGTGTAGAATGTCAAGGAGGAAGACTGAAGGCAAAGAGACTCGTTGAGAAGCTACTACAGCAAATAGAAGCCTAGAATCCAGGACTTATATTGTAGTTGTAGTAAAACTACAGAATAATGATCTGAACATGTGCTAAAGCTAAAAAATATTTCCACCATAAGTTGTGGAATCTTGTACACTTTCAGAAGCAAGGAAAATTACTCATTATATATGACGATTTAAAGGGTAATTATTCTAGCTTTAGCATTCAAGTACAGTTTTGATACAGCATGTTTTCTATTTAATTGATTTTGGAGAGATAGGAAGAGAGAGATCGATTTGTTCCAGTTATGTATTCATTGGCTGATTCTTCTTTGTGCCCTGACTGGGGATTGAACCCACAACCTTAGCGTATTGGGATGATGCACTAACCAACTGAGCTTCCTGTCCAGGGCCTGCTACAGAATGTTTTTAAATAATGTGAACTAGCTCACAAACAATTGCTAAATAGGGCTGTGGTGTCTTTATAACCCAGAAATCCCACTGGTTCATATGCAGTTTTTCCCAACACATTAATAATTTGTACCACCAATTATCTACAGTTTTATAAGTTAACTGGAAGAATACATGCTTTCTGTCTGAAACAGGAAGCTGTGGCATGACTTGATTGTTGTAATAGGGTCACTCAGGCAATAGAAACAAAGTTATTGAAGAAATCTGGGCAAGAGTAAGTGGATGGTTGGGACCAAACTATGCTAGCAGGCCGGAATGAAAGGTGTGAGAGCCTGTCTCCCTCAAGAGACACATACACACAAGGACACATGCACAAGAGTGTTTGTTGGAGTACTGCTTTCATAGTGAGTAACGAGAGTACCCATCAATAGAATGGGTAAGCCGTGCAGTCTGAATTAATAACTGCATGTACAGTATCAACTTACGGTATTAGACAACCAAGGGGAAATATGGCTAAGCCGTCTGACTGTGATGAAGAAATAGAGGAACAAGGAAGTTCAGATTGTATGCTAGTGTGTAATTTAAGCTGCTTAAGGAGAAGAGAATACGTGAGAGAAGTGAAAAAGAGGTAGTGTCAGCAGACAAAAGTCCCCTGGGGGTTAAGGACTCCTTGGTAAGAGTGTCCTTGAGCTGGAAAGGGGGGTTAGTGTTGGACAGTTGGAGTGTTTGAGATCATAGAAGAGTCTGAGTTTCTGGTAATGACAGGTTCAAGGTTATGACCAAAGTTGTAGCTGAGACAATAGAAAAAATTATTGAGTCTTTCAGTTCAGCCGACATACTGAGAGGCCAAGACCCTGGAAGCATCATCTGCACGGGTATTAGAATCACCGAGAACTGGGACTGGGGTAGTGTTGCAGAGGCTGAGAGGGAGACGGGAACTGAGTTCCCATAAAAACGGGGAGTGGAGGGGACTATCGAGTCGGTAACTGCAACCAGAAGTACCCAGGTCGCCGACGCCACGGTCTGAGGGCATGTTTTTAATAGGGAGCAGAAGAGGATGGGGGGCAGCAGCAACGAGGAGAAAGGAACCATTCCCAGTGGGACCAGAGGTGTGGTAGAGAAAATGCTGCGGTTCAGGAAAAGCAGTGTCATCAGTGCCACCAGTTCAAATTCTGACAAGCGTAGTTTAGAGAGCTGGGTGTTTTCACAAACTGATACTCATTTTTCTTAAGCCACAGAGTCCTCATGATAGAGACATGCATTTTTAAAAAGTCTAAGAAAAACAGCCATGATACAGGTGAAATGAGAGTGGCAAAGGGACTGTTTTATTTTAGTTTTTTTAAAAATATTTATTTTTTAGAGAAAGGGGAAGGGATGGAGAAAAAGGCAGAGAACATCGATGTGAGAGAAACATTGATAGTTTGCCTCTTGCTCACACCCGACAGGGAGCCAAACCCACAACCCGGGCACGTGCCCTGCAGGAATCCAACCAGTGACCTTTCACTTTGCTGGATGACACCCAACTGACCGAGCCACGCAGGCCAGGGCCAAAGGGACCACTTTAAAGGGAACAACTACTTTCTGTTGTTCCCATGGCAGAATTTAGGCCTACTATTGCTAGATCTTTTGATATTTTGCAAGAGAAACTGGATTTTTATGGTAAAAAGACTTAAAATACTAGCTTTCTATGTTTTAAACGTGTCAGAGACTGCATTCAGCCACTGTCACAATTTCAGGAACTCTGCTTCTAGAACAGGAGCTGCCTCGGTGTGCACTGGGAGTCCACGACCTGCACACTGGCGCGCTGCCTGTCGGGTGGCCTGGGCGGTTCAGGCTGCAGGAGCAAAGACAGGAACTATCTAGAAGCTGATCGCCAAGCTGCACTTAAATTACCTGGCAATTTATCACTTGCTTAATTGATTATTACTCAAACAGATTTTATTTCACCCCCTATTTTTTTTACTTCAATTCTAATCCTGATAATGGAATTGCCCTTGGAGAGAAACACACCTAACTCATGGCCTGGACTTTTAATAAAGCAGACCTCGTACAATAAAGGAGGGCTCTAGTAGAGGAAAATTCAAAGGTTCTTTAAGCCTTAAAAAAAAAAAAAAAAGCTAATTCCTAAACAAATTTTAACGTTACAAAGTATCTAATGTTTCTTCAAAGTCTTCAGTTTCCCTTTAGTCATACTGATGATGGGGAACCTGCACCGAAGTAGGAGTCCTCAAGAGGGTATTTGGCTACATTTGACCTTGGGCAGGGCAGCAGCCCCCCTAGATTTAGTTTCCTTATTTGTAGAACAGATTAAAAATACATGCCCCACCTACTTTGATTAGGATCAAATAAGAGTGTGAAAAGCTTACCCCCTCAAATTGTGTGGGTGCTTTGTTTGATTATAGCCTAATAAAGAGGAACAGCTTGCCTAAAGCTAGGGAGTCTCTTTGCTTAAACAAAATATTTTAGATTAGAATATATTTAAAATGTAGGAAAACCCTTGAGTGTGAATAGATATATAATCTACTTCCAAAGCAACTTTCCTACTGAGAGGCGACACCAGGTATCAGGTGTGAGGTGCTGGCTGGAAAGAGGCCTCTCCGCGGCTCTGTGAGCACATGGTGCTGTGCACTTAGTTAAAGATCCTGTTCACTCAAGAGACGCTGGATACACACGCTCCTCCTTTGGGCCTGCCATCACCTTCCTTTCCCTTCTCAGCCTGTACTCACTTTTTTCCCCATCAAAATGAACGATTATCACTTGAGATTTATATTTAATGTAGTGGGTCTTTTCTAGCAGCATTTAATACACACTTGAAAGAAGTCATAACTGAGAAACACAGAGTACCTTGTTGCACAGTAAATTTTTAAGTCCCAGTGAGGAGAGCTAAGGTAGCTTCCTCCAAGGAAGCTGGCGCTGACGACTCCAGTGCAGCCAGTGTGTTGACTGTGAGGTGACACAGTCTCTGTGGCCAGCTGACTGTCCTGCCATTTAGTCCGAGTCCTTGGGAATAGTTATTCCTTTTTATTAGTCGTATGGTTGTTATGCAGCCATGGAAGGAAAAAGCTGAACAACAAAATCATGGACAATATACCTGAAAGATAAATATAAGATAAAATTAGTGACGTCAGTTCTACATGGAATGTAGGTATTTTCTAAATCTAATATTCTCACATTATTTTCCTTCAACCTAGAATCCTTAAACACTGTATGTACTTGGTAAAACCAGTAAGATTCAAACATTTATTTAAAGGATAAACAAGCTGGAATAGTTGGAGTCCCAGCTCTGGCTCTAGTCCAGGCCTGCTGAGTGAGCAAGGCTCCGGTCACCCTTTGCTCTTCTTTAGAATGGCACCCCACCCCCTCGGATGCCCGGGTGGGAGGGCGTCCTGGGAGAATACAACAGTTGAAAGCACGCCTGGGTTTTCACTTGTAATGCTCAAAAAAGAACAATATGTTAGATTACTTTACGTCTTCTCATTTTTTTCTATCAACTTTAACCATTAATAATTTTTTAAATTATATCAAGCAAAATATCTAAAATAGAATTTTGGTTAATGCTGAAATTTTAAAACCTAAGTATGTAAAAAAAAAATCACATATTAGTAAGTCTTCATTTTGAGGTCACACCAGACAAATGTGGCATTTGGTTCTGGCTGAGTTGTCACTGGGAACCAGGGAAGTGTCGAGTGGGCCATGGGGCCCAAATCCCTGTCTTGAAGGGAGGTCTCCAGAAGTCTCCAGTAGTTATCGTATTTATCTTAACGTCCTTGGGTTTAAAGTTCTAGGTCAGTTTAAACTAGAATTAAGAATGAGTTTTTGTCGCGTGCGGGTTTGATATTTACTCTTGTTTGGTAACAACACGAAACTTTAAGGTTTAACTAGCATTTGGATAGCTTAACATTTTAAAAAGATGAATCTGTTTGCAGTCAAAGGCTTGAAATGAAAAAAAAGTCAGAAACCATCTCTGTTAACTGATCCACCAAATTTGACATTTTCTTTATGAAGTCAGAGCTAGAAAATAAGACATTACATTTCCAACTTTTTCCTAAAATGGAACTTCCATTTCATCTGAGCATATGTGATTTGCTAATTTTCATTCTGTAAAATGTTAGAGAGACTTTTATATATGGTGTTACAGTCACATTTATAACATTTTAAATTAATTTTGGGGAGATGGCAGGGGGCATTAAAGGGATTACAGCGTCCGCTATGCAGAGAGACAAAAACGAGCAGGGTCTGTGCTTTCGGAGGACAGCCTGCCCCCTGCATGGTGAGGAGAGGAAGGGAGATGGGTCTGCAGGGGCCTGTCTGTCTCCTCCCTCCGCGTGCTGCCAGAGGAGGAGGTTTTAACGGGGCTTTGTTTGCTCTGACCCGCCCTTTCGGTGACTCTGGTAAAAATAAGACTTCTTAAATTTCCCGTCCTTCTTAGAGTTTAAGTGTGATCTTATTTCATTTGAGGCCATTTTGTTTTTCCCGTGGGAAGGTAACTTCAATGTATGCCACAATTCACAGTAAGCTGGAATTAAACATCTCGGAACTGCCATTGAGTCACAAGTCTTTTTTCCACATATGTGGAAGGATTCCTGTACTATCTTTCATGAGTCTCTTGGAAAAATGCAGGAACATGCCTCTTTAAAACAAAACTACAACAGGAATTTTATGTTGAATGTACTTAGAAAAAAACTAGGAGGTTTTTAGGCCAACTAAGAATCTTTACATGCTTGTTTTCAACAAGCTAAGTAGGGCCATACCAGTTACAAAAAAAGTTGACCTCAATTCCAGTTTTAAAAGATTCCCTAAACAGGAAGCAAATGGGGTGGATAAAAGTATATTTGTTTTTTGTTTGTTGGTAATGGCCATCAGTGGTCGTACTTCTGGACTAAACTGACATGATGAGAATACAGTCTGTTCTCCCTCCCTGCTGCAGTCTCGTCTGTTACTTTCTAAAGGGGTTACAGATGATGGCTTCTTTCTTATCTGTCATGAGATTTTTTTCCAGAATATTCTTTAGGAAGAAGTTACTAAGTGATAGGGCTTGAGAATGTGTTTAAAGTAAAATGTCATGGTCCTTTTACAGAGAATGAATGCCTTTACTTCTGATTTCTTATAAAATTCTTCTGGAAAGTCCTACTTTTTAATATTCTTTCAAGTAATGGGAGAAATAATTCCTTATTATCATGGCCTGTTGTTAATATTGTAGTTGGAACACTAACAAATATGTATATAATGTTAATAATATATGTTTGATTTTGAATAAGACATTTTTTTCATATGGAAACTATCCCTGGACCTGTCCAATTAGTGACCTTTTTAACTTCACTGACTGCAGTGACAGTTTTAACTATTAAATTCAAATAGACAAAATTTATCTTTAAAGTAGTTGTTATTGTAAAACACGAGCAACCCGTTGAACTAAAAAAAGGCACCATTATTAGCCTTTTAAAATGCACGTGTTCTCCGATAGTCTCCATATTTGCACCTGGTATATCACTGTTGCACATATTAGATACTAACTGGAGGAGTGGGAGTGAATGGCCTGAGCACAAAGCGTGACAGCTGTTCAAGCTGGTACATCATGGTTCCCTTCCATACATGCCCTTTAAAAAAACCAGGAATGAGCAACAAGCATCAAAAGGCTAACTGTGGACAAAAAGGATGAAGTAGTAGAAAGCCAGGCATCCTCATATTCATTCATTTGTAGTTTTGAATTGTAGTCGGACTTAAAACAAGTGACTAAACAGAATCAAGAAATGCCGATAACTTATATAAAGAAATGCAAATTATGGCAACAGTCACCGTCATACCTCGGCCCTCAGCGTCTGTACCCATCACATTTTGACGAGAAAAGAGTGTCACAGTACTTGCTAAAACTTGGGTGAGTCACCACACTGCCTTCAAGAGAAAGTGCTTCATAGTTGGGGGCTCATCGGTCCCAGCACGGTCCCAGAACTAATGAACGACGAGCACCGAGGTACCACTGCATTTTTTTAAACTTCTTGTGTTATTTGGCCCATCCCAAGAGAAGCAATAATGAATCTTACAGATTTTAAAACTATGCTCATTACCAGTATTCACTGCTTTTTGAGATGCTTTTCTGCAAAAGGAGTCAAATGAACTAAAAAGTAGTTTAGATGGATCTCACAAATGTGAAAAAACGAATTCCTTTAACAAAATAAATTTTAGTGTAATTAATTACTCTTCACTTCTTTTGCCCTCATATCTGAGAGTTTTTGAGAGTGTTACCATACTTGGAACTGACTGTCCTCAACTAGACAATTTCGCTTCTTTGAAGATAAAAACAGCTTTAAAGGATACTGCACAAGATAAACTCATTTCAGCACGCTAACTAGCTTTCTCATCTGCTCTTTGTGAGCACTCTGACCTTAGAAACTGACGAGTCACAGTGACATTCCACATCATGTTTCAAAATAAACTGGTCTTTCAATCATCTGAAATGAAAACGTGCTTACCTACAGAAGGAGCCAGCCAGTATACTATAAAAAATTGGAGGAAGGCTTCATCGAAACACTTGAAATGCAGTGAAAGTGCCAAAGCTGGATTAAATATAGCTCCCGTCAGACTTCCTCCTGTAATACATTTTAAGCAGAGGGATATCAAACCATGTATCTTACATTCTCTGGTAATCGAAAATAAAGGGGTTAGTCATCCCTGGGTATCCAGGTGGGGTTGGTTCCTGGACCCCCACAAACTCCACAGTTGTTCGAGTCCCTTATATAAATGGCATAGTAATTGTGCATAACATATATGTGTGTGTTATGTATAACATATATACACACACACATAGTCACATCCTTCTATGTACTTTAAATCAGGGGTGTCCAACCTTTTGGCATCTCTGGGCCACATTGGAAGCAAGAGTTATCTTGGGCGTCTCTTAGGCCACACATTAAACACACAAACACTAACGAAAACTAATTAGCAAAAAAACAGTTTTAAGTAAATTACGATTTTATGTTGGGCTGCATTCATAGCCATCCTGGGCCACATGCAGCCCATGGGTCATGGGTTGGACACCCCTGCTTTAAATCATCTCGGGATTACTTGTAACACCTAATACAATGTAGATGCTAGGTAAGTAATTGTTTATTGTTTGGGGAATAATGACAAGATAAAATGTCAGTACAGATACCACCAGCATGAGGCCTAGCTACTACAGTGCACGTCAGCAACAGCGTGACCATTTTTAAGAGTATTTTGATTGCCCTGGCCAAGTAGCTCAGCTGGCTGGAGCGTTGCCCTGATTATACTCCTGGGTTGAGTGTTTGAGCCCCAGTCAGGGCACATACGAGAATCAGCCGATGAGAGCCTAACTGGAGTGGAACAACAACAAGAACAGTTTTGATCCAGGGAAGCTCGACCCCATGGACTTGGAGTCCATGGACCCAGAACCTGCGGGGCTCCAAATGCAGGGTCAACTGTGTTCTTATTCTTTGACCTTTCTTTGCAGACTCCCCTGGCATATTATAGAGTATAAAAATAGATTATAGATTACAACATGTCCAGTGCAAAAAAAAATACAAAGGATATTAAGAATGTTAGTCTACTGCTTTTCCTGTATGTTATTGTAAAATGCACATTCATAGTGAATCTGCCCTATTGTTTCTATAAAGTTTTATGAAATAGAGATTTGGCTGCCCTTGACACTGATCAATTCAAGTGAATGAATAATAAAAATAAAATGAAAATGCATTTAAAAATGGATGCAACACCCCAGGTTCCTCTGGACCAAAGCATTATTATTGGCTCCCCTTTGACTTGTCAAGAAAGCCCTGAAGAAGTAACTGAATGCTATGGAAGTGATACCTCAGTAAAGTGGTTTCAAAATTTGTTCTACAAGGATGTGACTGAGTAGCCATGACCGATAAGCGTAAATTCTCATTGTTGGCTACTTTTCGGTATCCATGGTCTAGCTCTGTGCTCGGGGTGTCTCTGACATGGGACTCGGGTTAATAGTTCTGGCTAAACAGGAAGAAAGAAAAGGTCGAGGAGGACAGACTGCCTGTCCAGCCAGAGCTGCAGCTCAGCTTTTCAAAACACACCCTAAAATCATCCCTGAGATAGTGACATTTCTGGTGGTCCTTCCGTCATGTGGAGGCTGGGCGCACACATCTGCCCCTGACTCAGCCACAGAGAGGGAGCCCAGGATCTTTGCAGATTTTATATTGACATATATCAAGCCATGTTAATTGTCTTCATAAACTGCAGCAACGTAAAACTGGCAATTAAGTGATCTTTTCCTAAGATTTCACACCTGACAGGCTGAAAACATTGAACTTGTGTTGACATGAAAATGCTGAGCAATGAGCCAAGTTTAGTTCCCACGCAGTGTGGGTGGAAAGATAAGAACTCACACAAACCTTTACAATATAATGTAATATGTGTTATGATAATATAATTAGTGAGTAATAAAAGTACTGAATATACTGAATCATTGCCCTCATAATTAATTTACTTTGGTATTCCAAAGCCAAACACTTCTGACATGTCAAGAACACTATCCATCAGTCTTGTGCCGTCCTAAAATGTAAACTACTTCAATCCCTTTATCCTGGAGCCCTCACATCACCAGTTCTGCTCAGTGTGACTTGGTGGAAGCTGCCTCTCCTACCAAGAGGTAGATTCTCTCTCTCCTCTCTTGAATGTAGACTGGCTTCGTGACTTGCGTGGACAGAATGCAGAAGTGATGCTATGTGAATTCTGAATATGAGTGATGCTGTGTGAGTTCCAAGTTCAAGCCTCAGTCAACCCACTGGCCCTCACTTTTGCTTAGAACAGTGCCGTGACTGTGTAAGCACGCTGGTCGTGAGGCCACATGAAGAACTGAGGCACCTGGGATGATAGCTGGTGGGTACCAACTGCCCACCACATGATGGCGGCCACCTGGGCTCTTCCAGCCCCACCAACTGACCAGCTATGTGGTCTCAGAAATTTTCTATCTAACCTTCAGAATCATGAAAAAATAAATTATTGTCATTTTAAGATTGGGGGTGGTTTGTTACAGAGCAATAGTTAATAGATATAGAAATCCATATCAGAAGCAGCTTCTGTGTTCATGAAGCCCAAAACATTTGCTATTGGCATTGACTTTGACATTTTAGACTGAATAAGTCTGTGTTGTAGGAGCTGTTCTATGTACTGTACAATGTTTACCAGCATCTCTGGCCATAACCCACTAGATGCCAGTAGCACATCCATTCCCCTCCCCGGCCCCGCCCCCACCTTTGTAACAACAAAAATGTCTCCAGACATTGCCAGATGTTCCCTGGGGAAAAAATTGTCTCCTATTGAAAACTACTGTGCTGTAGACACACTGCTGCTTGTGTACAAGTAGACATGCCTGTACACAGGGTCTAATTACAGTAGCAAAGAACTGGGGAAAACCTGTAGGCCCATTCATAAGACTACAGGTGAGTAAGTTAGTTTATTATTACTCTGGAATACCATTCAATATTTTGAAATAATGAGAGAAATCTCTTCACTAACATAGATTTCCAAGATAGATCATTCAACAACCACTACCAAAAAAAGCAAACCACAGAAAGTAAGGTACAAAACTCTTTATGTTAACACAAACACACATAATGGTTTCTACAGGGTCTTACCCACATGTATAATCAGTGCACATTTAAAAAGGTTCGAAAGGACACACATGCGTGCAGGAGGACTGCCTCGCAGAGGAGGGGAGGCGGGGAAGGAGAGGGGACAAAGTCACTTTTAGTCTCCCTGGTAGGGTTTCAGTTTTTTACAGACAGAACACATGTATTACTTGTGTAATTAAACATGATTTAAAAGTAAGAATCACACACCAGACACAGGACTAACAGAAAACGCCTTTGGAAAACAAGTTACTATTTATTGACATTTGAAGGGGAGCAGACAAAAACACATGTTGAAGAACAGGCATCTACGGGGAGGCCCAGCCCACTGACTGCGAAGAGTCTTTAGAGGCCAGTGTGAACTGAGAGAAGTCACACAGTGAAAGACTAAGTCCCACATTGGGCAATTTGAGGCACTAACGTCTCTCGGTACTCTAAAGGGTCAAATTTTCCAACAGAATGACTCTCCTAACATCACATAGGACTCATGTAAAAGCGAGAATGTCAATCAACTGATTTATAGTGGAAGCTATCCCTTTCCGGAAAGCAATCAGAATATTTGTACCAAGCACTAAGCTAAGACCTTGAATACACTACTGTGTTCTTCATGATAGAACAGATGGTATTACTCTTCATTTTACTGGTGAGGAAACTGGAGCCCAAATTAAGTGTCTGTCCTAAGGACACACACAGTCCACCTCCAAACCTGTTCTCCTAACCATTCTATTATAACTGGTATAATAAAAGACAAGACATTTTGGACCTCTGTTTGAATCTGGTTTTCATCTCTAAATTGGCACCTATTTCATATGGTTATGGTATGAAAAATGAAAACATGTAAAGGATTTAATTCCCCTCTTCTTTGACAAATAATTTTACCTATATGCTTCATAATTGAGAAGCATACAAAAACATTAAACATTCACTCATTACTGAATGAAGTAATGAAACAAAAATGCCACGATTTCTTAAAAAATGTATTATGCTTATTTTGAAAGTCTGTAGACATTAAATATATATTATTTCTTCCTGTGTAATTTTGGAAAGTGAATGGATATTTGCTAATTCATTCACTCATTCTACAAATCCTTACTGAGTATTTATTTTGTACCAGGTAACACTGTGCAAAGTTGTGGTTCTATGTTATCATGAATAAAACAATTTTAATCTCTTTACTCAAAAAGCTTACTGTCTGGTTGAGGAAGACAGGCTTATATCAGAAAACAAGTGTATCAAATTCTACAAAGGAAATGAACAGCGTTCTGTACCAAAGGCAACTTACTTAGGTGTGTAAAATAATATACTTTTTCAGTATCAGATTAATTAAAAAATGAATATACTTCTCTTTTACACTGTTCATTGAGCTAAATTCTCCCATACTTAAGTTCAGGAAGATTTGCTGGAAATTTGCATGAGTCATTTTATAGCTCTACTATGTTAATCCCAGCTTTCTTTTCTTTTCTTTTTTTAATTTGGGAAGCCAATACACAAGTGGCAATGCCATCACTGGCCTCCATGTGAACTTTGAAGTGCAAGTGCTAAACCAGTAAATGCACAATCAGACACTTGGTCACTGGTCACCCAAAGCACCTGTGGCGACATTGCTGGACAGTCATGTCCTATACTCTTGAAATATATCATCAGTTATTTTGTTGTGACCCGTGTTGGTGGCTTCTGAGTACTCCCAAGTGTGCCCCAGCTGCTGCATAATTTTTTTGTGAGGGATGATCCTGTTCATATACCGGGAATGGTCCTGCTCTTGCCAAAATCTAAAACCTAGAACTTTGATAAGCAACTATTCACCAGCCCCTCAAATGTGCGTATGTCCTGCCCCCCTGCCTAAGCCACTCATTCCACCCACGGCCACAGAAAGAACGGCACCAGCTCCAGAGAAACAGGTGGAAAAGCCTTTCATTTTCACCCGGGAGTCCTTACCTTAAGGGTTGCTTCTACTCCTAGTTTCACTTTGAATGGGCAGAAGATAAACTTTTACTACAGATTTCCTGGCCTCCAAACGTTTTATAATTCACATATAACCTTAATGGAGATATTTTGCTGTAATCTTTTATAATGACACTTTTCATTATTAAATTTGTTTTTGTATCTGGGATTTCATCATAGCACAGAGGCTGTAAGAAATCAACAGGTTTCTCAAGAGTTATTTGTTTTTTAAAAGCATCTTTAATTTCAAGAAAGTTTTAATTTTAAAACACTTCTTTCTTGATAGGTCACTTAAAAGTGCCTTTATTACTCAAGATGAATTATTAAGGAAATAAAAATGACTTCAAGTAATTTTCAGGAAAACAACTAAGAAATAGAACTACATAATTTCTACTCGCCACTCACGACTGACCGATCAGGTCAGTACCGTTTTTCAGTGAGTGTCGGAAAGGATCTTTGCTAGGCTGGCTTGAGGAAAGAGGTAGCTGAAAGGTTATCTTCCTCTCTGCCATTAAAACTACCCCTTTGTGGGCTATTTGAACCCTTGGTATTATCTCAGAACATCTTAGTTTCTGCACAGAAGTGGCTTCTTTTTCTGGGTATTCAAAACAGCACTGAATGGAGGATCTTTATGTCCACCTGTCCTTAAAAAACTGGATGTTTAGAATAACGGTAATACTAATATTGACATCACAGAGGTTCAGGGATGTCAAACATATCTTTGTAAAGAACTTAGAGCCTCAGGTCAGAGAGGCTCCGGAGGTACCAAGTGTTTTGCGGGAGAAACAAACCTGCATAGACCAAAAAGGTGATCAGTGCTGCCAGCAGGTGGATACGAAGCTTGTTTCGGACCTCCTGGAAGTGCAGCAAAGCGCTGTGGAAGATAAAGGAGCAGATGGCCTCTATGACGACGGCTTTGGGCAAATCGACGTGGATGGGATTCCTGCAAGTGAAGCTCCTCTCGCTGACGTGATACCTGGTCAGTCCCAGGCTCCACAGGGCGCTCATAGAGTACCTGCTGCCCAGGGCACCAGTCAGCTGAGCCAACAGCCTTATCGCCCCTGTCTCGGGGGACATGTCCCCCAGCATCATCTGCATCATCACACCGCACGGGTTGCTTGAGGTGCCCACCAGGGTCAGGCCATGCACCAAGGAGAAGAAATAGACTAGCGTCAGCGGCCAGGTGGGATGCGCGGGTTCCTGCTCGCTCAGCACTTGCAGCTCATGGGTGCAGCAGCAGAGCTGGAAGGTGGCCAGAAACTCCAAGACAAAAGTGTGGGCCGTGGGTCTGTGCATATGCCGCCGGAGGACCACGCGAGCCAGCGCCACGAACAGCACGGTCGACAGCATCAACCCCAGCGAGGTGCAGGTGTCCTGCACCTCGGGCCAGAGCCCCCGCGGCGCCGTCATGGCTTCGTCCCCTGAAAGCCTAGCTGCCCGGTCCGCTGGGCAGCGGGCGGTCTGGGGCTGGAGTCCCAAGTCCGCAGCCCCGCCCTCGCCCCAGGCCCCGGGGCGGGCGCACTCCGGCGAGCGGGGCCCCAGGCGTCACCCAGGAGGGCTCCTCCCCCTCCCCGGGTTCCGCGCGGAGGTGTCGGGACTGGAGCCGAAAGGAGGGGAGGGGAGGAGGGGGCAGGAGGGCGGCGCGCGAAGCTCAGCGGGGGCGCAGGCGGAGGGGCCACCCGTCAGGCCGCACCCACGCGCACGCACCCCGGGCCCGGCTCGCGGCGTCTGGAAGCTGCGAGCCCGGCGGGGAGCGGAGCGCGCTGCGCCCGGAGGCCACGGCGCATGCGCTGGCGGCCGTCGCGCCCCGGCCGGGCGCTCGCCTGGGGAGCCGGGGGTTCGGGGCCAAGCCCGGGCGGGTTCGTCCTGCGCTGGTGGAAAGGTGAACGGACACTGCACTCGGACAGTGGCTTTGAAGCCAGGAAACTGAGGGTTTTCCTCCCTGGTCCTATAACTATAAAACCGTTAAGCTGGAAAGTCACCTAAAGACCATCTTGGCCAACCACCTCGTTTTTTAGTAACGGTGCTACTGGGAAGACGGGAGGCGACGGAGCTGCGGCCGCGGGGTGAAGGGGCAGCGGGAGTGGCGGGCGCGCCCGGGTTTGACCGGTGCGGATACGGCGGCGTGCAGCTTGGTCTCCTTGCTCATCCAGTCAGCTTTCGTCCCGGGCTGTGGGTCCCGCACGGGAGGTGTCCGAGGTGTCCGGTAACCGCGGCCGGAGGCGGGGAGAGGGCGGGCCTGGCGGCCCGGGTCCGGTTTCGGCGGCGCTCGGGGCGGCGGCGGGCGAGCGCGTCACGGGGGCGGGGGTCGTGCGCCGCCGCTGCGGAGGAAGGGCCCCGGCTCAGCCGTGGGAGTCGAGGGCGGGGAGCGGCTCGTTGCTGGAGGAGACGCCACCCGAGAAGACGGGAGGACTCATCCTGGAACCCAGTTTAAGGGAGTCCCACGTTCCTGCTGCCTGACCGGTCCAGGGAAGGGAGGAGGGTCGAGGTCAGAGGCGGGCGTTCCCCCCGGGCCCGCCCCGCACAGGAATCCCGGAAAGAGCTCGCTATTTCTAACCCCTGGTTCCAGAGTCTGGTCCTGGAGACGCCTGTCAGTCTTTGATGGAGAGTCTAAGTCACGCCTATTCCCCCGACCTCCCCAGGAAAGGCGCCCTCTGCAGGGGGCTTCTCTGGCAAAAACTCGAGCCTCAGTCCGAATTCCTCTGGTTAATTAGCGTATCTGAGGCAGGAGTTCCTAACCTGGAGGCCAAAAGAGAAATACAGGCTAGAATTTAAGATAGAGAGCACTTCACTATTACAGATATATTTAATACCACTAAACTGTACGCTTAAAAATGGTTAAGATAGTAACTTATGTGTGTTTTACTACAATTTAAAAAGCTTTTTAAAGGCACGAGCTATCAAGCTAAGCAAAGACATAGATAAATCTTAAATATATAGTTAATTAAAGGAGTGAAGTCTAAGAGACTACACACGATACAAGATTCTATCTATAGGACAATCTGGAAGAGGGAACTATAGTGGCAGAAAATAGATTAGCAGGAAGTCCATGGAGGAGAAGCGTTAGATAGACTAAGCACAGAGGGTACTATAGGTCGGTGAAACCATTTTGCCTAATACTAATGGTGGAGTATGCATTTGGACTATGCATTGGTCCAAACCCATAAGACCTTAATGTATGCAAACTTAAAAAATTATTTTGCGGAATCCCAAAATGGAATAAAAACTGGGACAAAATAATATACCATATAAACGTGTGAAACCACCTCATGGAAAGGGGTGGGGGGAAATGCTGACCTAAGCAACTTGGAAATGATTGGAGTCTGTAAAACTAAGTGCAAGAGGAACTGTGCACTAGTTGAAAACTTGTGTATCCACAGGGGAAAAGGCTGGAATGAGCCACGTGGTAGTGAGTTGGAGAGATCATTATGACCTCATGTTTAGCTTAATATGATACAGATAGTTACATACAGAAATATTTATAGACATGTATGTGTGTGCATATGCACGAGGTCTGTCCAGAAGGTATCCAGCCATGTAATATGGGAAATAGAGACATTTATTGAAGAAGGTACACCATATAGTAACACCAAACATAGGACAATGATACCTCAGTCCCCTTCAAAGCAGGTGCCTACAGACCTCACACAGTTCTCCCAATCACCATCAGCTGTCCTGTTGTATTTTCCTGAATCTCATCGATGGTCTGAAATCTCTTCCCTTTCAAAGGTGATTTTATTTTTTTGAAAAGGCAGAAGTCTCTGAGCACCAAATCTGGGCTGAGGGGGTCTGAGTCACCTGTGTGACTTGATGTTTTGCCAAAAACTCTGCACAAGACATGATATATGAGCAGGTTTGTTCTCGTGAGTCTGCCACTCACCAGTTGCCCAAAGCTGTGGCCTTCTGAATCATCTGAACAGTTTCCGTGGAGGAATGTTCAAGCTTAAAGCAAAATTTGATGCAGGTGCATTGTTCTACTCACTCAGTCATTTGGGATGTGACAGGCACACAGTGCACATGCTCACTCAATGCATCTACTGCCCCCACTGACTAGTACAGTAAAGTCGTCATTGTTCACACATGCACATTCCAGTCCACTCTCCTTGGCTACCAGGTTACATCGATGTTGTGCACACTGTTCTTGTTATATTAACAATGGCTGGACTTTTTCCAGACAGATCTCGCGTGGGTTAGTATACACACATATATTTCCTTACTCTGTCAGCTGAGAGAGTTTAGGAGGCAGGGCATACTGGTGGCAATGAGCACACCCAGGGCAGATCTTGGTTTCCAACACCATTCTCCAATAAGAGGAGCCAGGGCTGCTTGGGGAAATGGCTGCTTCAGGGACTGGGACAGGAGATATGCAAGGCGAGCCTGGTGCATCTTGTAGTGCTAGAAAGTCATAGAAAAAGAAAATTTTAGAGGGCTGCACCCAGTGCTGACCTTTATTATATGTCCATAGCGATGAATAGATACTACCCCTTTGCTTTTGTTGCTTAAACTATTGGGAAAGACAGGATAATATTAAATAATTTTTATTTATTACGCATATTAAAATGGGGTAATAGTGTGCTTTCATCCCTGAAACTACGGTTTTTAATCTTTTAGGGGGTAGTCATAGACCTTTTAAATTCGATCATCATGGACCTTTATCTTAGAAAACAAACATACCCCCCCAAACTTGCCAATCGCCCTGGCCAGTGAGGCTTAGTTGGTTGGAGTGTCGTCCCATAACTGAAAGGTTGTGGGTTTGATTCCTGGTCGGGCCACACCTAGGTTCACCATTCAATCCCCTGCGGGGGCACAGCTGCATGCGATCTGGGTCTGGGCGCATGCAGGAGGCAACCAGTCGATGCTTCTCTCCCTCTCTCTCTAAAAGCGATGCAAAACAATGTCCTTGGGTGAGTATTTTGAAAAACAAAAACCAAAAAAACTTGCCAATAACTTCAAGCCCTTCCCTGAACTCTGGATTTAGAATTCCTATCACAAATGGTAAACATCAAAATCGAATGAAACCTGAAGAAGCAGAAATTCTAAGATGTATGAGGAAGGTAGATTAAGTGCTAAGGAGAAGCAGTGGCAAAAATGAAAGATAAATTTCTGTAGCTTTATCTTACGTGTGTTATCACCAGCTCAGTTGCATAATAATTAATGTTTCCAGGAATAATCCGTAACTGAGGACCCTGTGCCCCACCAGGTGAACTTTGCCCTCCCCAGGAGAACACTGTGAGAAGCTGCCAACTCATTCACCTTTGGTCTTAGTGCAGTAGGAGTGTGATGTGTGGTAAGAGTGCTATAAATTAAAACTAAACAGGGGAAAGGGGATGGAAAGTTACAGGGGTTTTGTGTTTGTGCTATTTTATATAGTTGTATAGAATGTCAGAGAAGCCTTCTCTGATAAGGTGACATTTGAGTGGAAATCTGTAGAAGCAGCGGAGGAAACCATGTGGATGGATACCCGGGGGGGCATTTCAGGCTGGGGAGCAGCAAAAGGGAGGAGCAGGGCAGAGTCAGGTGGGAAGTGCTGGGGAGTGAGGTCAAAAGTGGGAGTTGAGACGCGTGTGCCTGTGTCCGGTCCCCCAGGGTCGGCGTGAAAGGGTCAGGGAAAAGGGATAAGCAGAATTTGAGGGTACCAGCCCCTGACAGGATCATGGAATATTGTTAGAAATGGAGGAAATGCTGTTAGAAGTGGGAAAAGGGCTCAGGGAAGCCCAAGGGGAGACATTCCGCGTTGTTTGTCCATGACAGCACCGATTCTGGAGTGGAGGGGTGGTGGTGAGCTGTACTGGGCAAGGTGGCGAGGCTCCCAGCCCTCACCTGCTGAAGGGTAGGGCTTAAGTGTGCGACCATGTGTGTAACCAAGTGATGTGCGTATATGTGTGCGTGTGAGAGAGCGGGTGGGGTCGGGCGCAGCTGGGGCCCTGAAATAACAACGGGGAAGCTCTGAGGAAAGTGAGTGGAAAACAAGACTGGGATAGATTAGGTGGGAAGAACTTAAAAAGGGCAAAAGATCAGGGAAGAAGAGGCAATGAGGAACTGTTTGTCAAATGGCCACTGTTGGCCCAGATTTTTATATATATACAATTTTAATCCTCGCCCAGGGATATGTTTATTGATTTGCAAGAGAGACACACACATCGATTTAAGAAGTATCAGTTGGTTGCCTTCTATAGGTGCCCTGACATGGGATGGAACCTGCCACCTTTTGGTGTTCGAGACAATGCTCCAACAACTGAGCAACCTGGCCAGAGCTACATATATATGTATTTTAATTTAGTTTTCAAAGTAATACTGAGAAATGGGTGTTATTGTCTCCATTTCATAGATAGGAAAATAGCTTGACAAAGCTGATACACTACTAGTAACTAGCAGAAGAGGTCAGCGCCATCCTTTTGTCTTCAGTTCCCACCTATTTTCTTATGTTGCTGTGTTGACTTATTTATAATTCTGTATAAGGAGGGTCAAAATGATGGATGGTGCAGGTAGGCAGACAGCAGAAGGCGGGCACAGTGGCAGGCTGGTTAGAAGTTTTGAATGCTGGGCTGGCCTCACTGTCAGATCACAGACCTGGCCTTACAAAGAAGTGCCACAAGATGGCAGCATCTCCCCCAGTTTGTTTGAAGTGGGGGACGCATTCTCCGTGGCCAACTGCTGCCACACAAAAATATTGAATAAAAAGTAATG